CAATAAGCATTAGTGTGATAGTAGAATTGTCACTATCACAACAAGACGTGAAATCCACAAATATTATCTCCTTGGAAGATAGCAACTCTTGTGCTCTCATCGTGATAGGAGTTATTAACATAACCCCTCATATGAATTCTTCCCATATATATTTTTACTAATTAAAATATGTAATTTATTCATATATATTTCATACTTTTATCTTCCAATTCAATCTTCCTTTTTTATAATGAAAATCAATAGACGAACCAAATTTTTAAGTATACCATACATCATAAATGTGTTTAATTTATCTGGATTTTCGTTTAATGGAGGCATTAGCTCTGCAAACTAAACTTGATGGTGGAGCTTTCTGATTTATTCTCTCAAAAACAGACACTCCCTGTTCAAAGATCTTTATACATTTTTCTTTTGTCTATAAATATATATGTGAAAATTACTAAATCATTAACTCTAAGCTGTCTTAATGAATCTGCATTATGAATGATGATTATGTTGGAATTGTAATGTTGCGATGATCAATTGCCTTTATAACAACATTGATAAAAGCTAGGTAGTTTGAATTTGGAAGCTATTATTTTCTTTGTTAAGTGAATTTAGGTGACATTTCCCAGACATATTTTAATAACATGATGAATTAGAGGGCAATAGCAAATATTTTATTTATGTATGTACTTTTTAGGTTTTAAAAAACGGCATAGAATCCAAGCAGTATTTTCTTTTAGCCTATTATGTGAAACAAAACTTTCTGCTTCTTATGGACTTGAGATATTTGTTATTATGATAACTAAATCTTATTCTATTGATTGAGAAATAATTTCCCTACCAAAATCTGATAGAATATCCATAATCTAGATCAGGGGTATCACCAGCACAATTAAAAATTTTGTCAGATGTGTGCATATTTTTAATATCATCTAAATGTTTATTTTTAAAACTTTTTGGTGATACGAATATTTAGAATTACCTCAATTATTATATTGTATCGGATATCTTATACAAAATTTTCATATTTAGAACATTCCTGTTAATATAATAATTTAATACTTATCATACAATGCTTTAAATGCTACTAATATTTTAATTTTTCAAGCTTTCTCCTGGTTTGTCATATTACTTAAAGCTGGCTGACTAAATTTCTAAAAAAGTAGGGGTAATTAAACTTTTAAGCAGGGATGCGAACCCGGGAAAAATTTTAAACGGGTTCGGTTCGGGTAGGTTTAAGGAAAAATTTTTGAACTCGGGTTTGGTTACGGGTTCCGCTCGGATTTAAGAATTATTGAATTGATAAAATAAATTATATATCATAAATAAAAAACTAGACATAAATTTGGTAAAAATAAGGCAAAATATATTTAAAAATAAAAAATACAAAGCATGGTCATGTATAAGGTTTAAAAATTTTATTTAGACGTATTAGCATAATATCTTCCAAGAATCGTTGTTCATCCTCGATCTATGTAATGAAAGAATGAATTTCAAATGTGAATAAGATCTTTCAACGTTTACTTATATTAACTATATTTATATAAAAATATTATAAATAAACTTGGCTTGCAGGCACAGCAAATAGGATTTTGGATAAAATATATAAATTAAGGTGCTCCAGCTTAGCAGACTCACAAAAATGAAAAATATTTTCCTTCTGATCTAATCATTTAAAATCGCTAAATCCAGTAATTATCGTTCCAATGCTTTTATATGCAATCGTTTGGCCCTTTTTTGAGTATTATATCCTGACTCTATTTAAGTTGTTTCAATTTCTCTAGACCATTTGGATCAATAACATCAAAACTATTATCATTAGATAAATAAATTACGATCATTTATAATGTTATCTTTGTAAATACAAGTCCAAAATTTCTTTTTAATAATTTCCTGATTGAAATATATTACAATTTTATTAATTTCTATAAATGTGATATTCATAAATATTATTTGAATCATCAACGCAGGTAGGAGCTAGATACTTAAGGCATTATAATTGAAAATTCAGAATTAGCGCAAGAATATTTCCACCAAAGTTGGCGAAAATTTGTTATGAGGGAGATAAATGGGGCCGGGTTTGCTTCCATTAAATATCCTGTCATGTAGACATTGAAATCAACATGGGCTCTATAGCATAGATATATTTACCGGTAACGGTTGCATGAAAGTTATTTCCTCCATTTTAATTTTTAAAAAAATGTGTCAGTGAAAGTAAAGATAAAAAAAAATTGATTTATTAGTTATTATAAATAAAAGTATATTAAATTACAAATTAAAAAGATGATAAAATTATAAATAGTAAGCAGAAGATAAAGTTTATATTTGGGTATGTTTTTTTGGTAAAACAAATAATGGAAGATTTCGGATATGCTTTATTATTTTTTTAATTTGCGAATTTATAAATTTTGAGATTTTTCAAAACATTTAGGAAACAGCCTAAAAGGAAAATTGATCATTTTGACTCAGATAGCTTAAAGTATCTGAATATGATAATATATTATAATATATTTAGCTAGAATCTTAAATTATAATGTTAAATATTAATATTTTGTATATGATTCCTAAAGAAATATTCATTAATATCTTAACTGGAAAACCCTGCTTTTTATTAGTAATAGAATCCCTTAGTTTGACGATAAAGCCTTTTAAAGAGATTTTATTTTTTTTCTAAAGTAGCCAATGAATACATTCATATTTTGTGATTACTAGCTGATAGCCCGTAAAGAATAACCTGGAACCAGAATTTTCTCCTTACGGATAAATAACAAATTTTACCTTTATTTGACGATGGGTCAATCAGATTAGTCAAATGAGAGGAATAGATTATCGGTATTCATTCTTCCAAGACTTCTATAAATTTTTTGAGAAAAGGCCAAATATATTGTGGAAATGGAATAAAAAAAATATGATTTGTGAGGTATGATATTTATCAATTCCTTTAAAAAAATTTTCCACATCCAGACACATTAGTTTTTGCCCTCTTACATTGTAGAAAATCTCCATTCACCTCAAAGAATAATTTAAATGATTTTAAAACCTTTCTAAATACTCTATTAAAAAAAATACCTGCCATCAAAGATTTGAATCAATTATGGGAGCAAACCTGATTATCCACCCCAGTGCAATGGGCTATTTAGAAGATTATTAACAAAAATAATTGCCACAGGGCAAAATCCAGGGTCTTAACTTATTAAGTATAAGTATCAATTAGGATTTGGTGTTAAGGGAGAAGGCAAAATAGCTTCACATGTATTTGTTTTATATCCAAAATTCTCCTCCTAACATGGCTATTATCAAAGTAGACTAGAAATGCTTTCAATAGCAACTTTCGTTTATCAATTTAATAGTAAGTTTTTAACACGAGAATAATTAATATACGTGTTACCAAAATGGCGGGTCCAGCTGATTCGCTTTTAACGACGCATAAAAATGTATTTAATAAAGAATCGTCAGTCACCTTTTATTCATTATATATTTTTTTGGGTTATCGTAAAAATGAGCATGATATAATATTTTATGATGAAAGATTTATCAGGAAATAAATAATGTTGTATAAAAATTTAAAAAAAAAGCATTACACGGGTTTAGGGTTGTTTAAAAGAAACCCGGTTGGTGTCAATTTTTAAAAACGATCAAGAAAGAAAGAAAGAAAGAAAGAAAGAAAGAAAGAAAGAAAGAAAGAAAGAAAGAAAGAAAGAAAGAAAGAAAGAAAGAAAGAAAGAAAGAAAGAAAGAAAGAATTTAATCATCGAGATTTGGCAAATAGAGGTCTAAAATCTTTCTATCATTCTATGAGCAAAATGTCGAGGCTTGCATGATATTATTCCCTGGCTAAAATCTTATCAATCGGGTCGTTTTTAGCCACACCGGAAAAGTTGAGAAACATTGTTGGGATCTAAAAAAGCAAGCTATAAAAGACACGGGAATCGGGGTACTATTCATGAATATCTTCTTTAATAATCGATAATTTCGATAAATACGGAACATTAAATCGTTTAAAGAAATTTTTATATTATTGAATGATTGTTATAAATTCTGATATTATATTTCTATTTGAATAATATAATACTGCTTTAAAACTTTTAATTTTCCATTATATAACTTTTATATAATTTTTTTTATAATTTTATCTAAAAATTTAATTGTTAACTTCCAAAAAATACCCTACATTAACTCACCTTAGATGCCTATCCACTAGTGTTGTTAAACGGCTCGTTTTAAGCTAATTTTTAAAAACGGCTAACTCAATATTTTATCCAGAGGAATACTACGCAAGCCTGAAGATTTTGCTCATAGAAGGAACAAAGGTCTGACCATATATTAATGAAATCTCGAGGCTTAGACAATATTTTTCTGGCAAAAATATTGAGTTAGCCGTTTTAAAAAATCGGCTCAAAACGAGCCGTTTAACAACACTACTATCCACCTTCAACAAATTTGAAAGCAAAATATTTCTCACCCTCCTCCACTCCCACTAACTTTAGATAGACCCTTTATGTATATGGCTAAGAGTTCTCTATTCACTCACATAATTTAGAAAAAGGTTAAAAATTCCTAGTATATATAAAAAAAAAATTTGTATTTTGAATTTGTGAGCTATATATTATAAAAAAAATATGAACAAACTTCCCGTTGGGTAGAAGTTGCAACTGGCGTGAATATATAAGATTGCCGAATTTTTTTATATTTATTTTCATTTTTTTTTATAAAAAAAATAAAATCTTTGCTAGAGTGAGTAGATTGCTACTTATATTATCGGCGAAGAATGCGAACTTAATAAGGGATTCGGCCATGGGAAGTAACAATTTGTAACATTATTATTGTATAAATTATTTCATGATAAAATTAATTTTCAAAAATAAAACCATTAGGTTCTTGCTATTTTTAAAACCAATTTTATTTATACATTACTCCAAACCCCAAACTTCTAAACTCTTTTTGAGAGCGAGGGAATAATCACAATTTTTTGAAATAATTATCAAAAATAAAATAATAACTTTTAATATCCCGGCGTAAAAAATAGATTATATAATTAACCCATGTTTAAATCATTTTAATCACAAATTCCCTTAAATACCAAATAATATGAGTATATAAAAATTTATTATTTAAGGTTTATATAGACTTGATGTTTGGTTTGATATTTATCATTTTCTTCGAATTGGCATAACGCCGAAACCCATAGCGATAATCTATATTCGTTATTTGTTATCGCCTTCAGAAAGATGTGAGAAGTCTCTCCCCACTATAAATATTATATATATAAAAAAATTAATATGATATAAGAAAATTGTTTGTTAATTCGCCAAAAAAAAGGAGGAGGTCCTATAGAAATTTTAGGATCATAATTAATTTTGATAACTGGAAGAGCAATGTTAAAGAGAAAAATTTCATGATTTTGAGAGTATTACAAATATTATTTCTGATTATTATACTACCTCTTGAACTATCTAGTCTCAAATCTCAGAATTTTATTTTAAAAAAATACTAAATTTTGCTATTTACTATCGTAGCTTTTTTTGAAACATTTCCCGGATAGGTGGAATCCATTGAAACGCAAAATAAAGTATTTTTCGTTCTTACAGTAGAATTCCAAAATACTTGAATTGCTAATCCGTCCTTTAATGTAATCCTCCTTACCTTATATATCGTCGCATCATAGAAATTACCTTCAAAATGATTCATATGTTATTAATTATTTATGAACAATGCTATATAAAAAGTACTGCACTAGTATTATTTATATTAAAAGTCGCTAAATTATCGGGGTCGGGTCAAAAACCTATTTCAAAAATTTTTCAGGGGCCGTTTTGAACCGGTCCGTGCCGACCTTTAGTTTGTAATATGTGATAAAAGCAGTTGAATTGATTATCGATGTTCATAGATTGGATAATTATATACCGCAATTTATAAAATGTGATTTAGACAGAATAAATTTTTTTTATTTTTTATTTTATTAATGCGTACCAATATTGACATCTTCATGTAATATTAGAGCTATAATTTAGAAGGAAAAAAAATTATAATTAAAATATAATTTCCATAATAATTTTTCTTTGAAAAGGAAGGAAGGAAGGAAGGAAGGAAGGAAGGAAGGAAGGAAGGAAGGAAGGAAGGAAAAATAATTTTCTGAAATTTTCAGGAATTTTTTTTTAACTAAAAATTTTTTATTTTATTTTATCCGTAATACAAATTCATCAAAACAATAAACATTTTCTAAGACTTGTTTACATGCATAAATATCACATTAAAGGTAAATATTAATGATTCAGAGGCCTGCATGTCCGGCCCTAAGCACGGATACAAGGGCCAGATCTTATTTTAATTTTTTTTAAATTAAACCTTAGCCGGACGTAAAAAATAATTTTTCAAATATCAGGATCGGGCCATCCATATCTTTTAAAATTAAGCATAGTAAATCGCCATTGTTGCCTATAAAAAATTTAAAAAAAAATCGGGTAAGGCCAGAAAAAAACGGGTCGAACCGTGCATATGGTATCAATGCAGATCTCGAATAATATATTATATATTGCAATTCTAGCGTAATTAAAACGTGATTCTAATTTAAGTGGAATATGGATAAATTTAAAACTCCCATAATTCGAAATTCTCATTGATTTTTATTATGTATAAACTGAATAAAGGCCTCTTTTTTAGGTTAATGATGCTTGGTACCTTAAGGTACCATCTATCAAATTTGAATTTTGTTCATTTTTCATTTGGATAGGCACTACCAAATATATTTATAATATATATTTGAAAAATCGTGATTTTTGGAAAGCCTCTATGGCCTAGTAGGCATTAGCTTGGCTTACTTATCCTAAGCTCCCGGGTTCGAATCCCAGGAATGATCATGTTTTTTTTCTTATTCTAACTTGGTGGTTCCATCCTTGGGGGGATGATATGTAGAAGGCCGGACTCGACCACGTGATTCCGTATTAATATATTAAATAATAAGGGTCTTATTACATTTTAATAAATTTTGGTCGGTATTTAGCAAATTAGATTGGTATTTAAAATATTTCCATACATTCACTTGGTAGTAAGCATCATTAACCTCTTTTTTAGGACAAACTATTTTTGAATAAAAATTCGGTTTAAAAATAAGGTAAGCTAAAATTTAATGAGGCCAAAAGTCGTGGTCTATTAAGAGCTAACCCCCCCCCTTCCTACACACATACATCTAGCATACCCGTTGTTCGATATTTTGTCGTATTTATGCATTTTTTTTGACGACATTTGTGGCCAATCAGAAGAAAGTTAGGCGCCAGCTTACGTCGCCGTTATGAATATCGGCGGGGAGCCGGCGCGATTTTCGTACGACGTTTTCGGTCTGATCAAAATATCGGTAGTCAGTCGACACACAGGTCTAGATATACTTAGAGAAGCTATTAGTCCGGTACAATTAATCTTAAAAAATAATTATTTTAGCAGAGATTCGTCAAAATTATTTAATACACAGACTAGATATAGTCCTGCTTGGATTTATTTTGGGATAATGTAAATAATTTATTATATTAATACTTACTAAATTCTATACGTCCTATTAATTCATCTTGAGCTAATGTAAAAAATAAAATTGTTTAAAATCATAATAATAAATAATTTTCATAATAAAATTTTTTTTAAATGAATTTTATCGTAATTGAAATTCATTAAAATTTATGAATATCATTTTAAAAAATAAAAAATAAAATAAGGAAATTTAAACTCATCAAATACTTTTCATTAAGCTGTGTTTAAGAAGATCAAAAATATTTAATTCGAAAACTTTTCACTATTTTATTCGAAGAACACAAAATAAATCCTTTTTTTTACATAGAAAAATAAAAAATTCTGTAGGCATTTGATGCGCTGGTCTTATACTAGAGGATATATTAGTTCCGATATAAATTAATTTAAAAAAAATAGTATTTTTAGCTGAGGTCTATCAAGATTATTTAATACATGGACCAGATTATAAAAATATATTATTCTTAAGCCCTATCTGAGACTTTTCTCGGTTCTGCCCTGATTTCCTTTTGGGATGAAGTAAAAATAAAAAAAGATTTCATTAATATTTACCACTTTGAACTGTAATTTATATTTTTAAAAAAATAGTTTGAAAAATCATTATAAAATATAATTTCCAATAATAAATTATTTTTAATTAATTTTATCATTGAAATTCATTTAAATTTGTGAACATCAATGAAAAAAAATAATAATGAGATGGAATAGTTTTTTTCATTAATCTGTGTATAAGACATCAAAAATGTTTAATTCAAAAATAGGGTTATATTTTAAGATTTTAAAATTTCTGAAAATGGTTTGCACGCAAAGTTATATCAACAAATTTAGTTTTTAGTATTAATAAAGAATCAAAACAATTAGGATTTATTTACATTACATAAATAAAGTTATTGCTTCTTTCCTTTAATTATTTTTATTAATGTTATGTTCTTTAGGTTATATTTATTTTGTGACAATAGAAATACTGTTTCTAAATTACGAAAGGAAAAATTGATAATTCCTCTATTAGGCTCGATATGTAAATTGAAAGTTTGAGATAATGCTTTATAAATTTATTCAAAAAATAAATAATTAGATTTCAATTAGCTCTAGATATGTTTTCCTAGAATAATTAATATATAACACTATATGGTTGGGACATTTAATTTTAATGTTTTCTTTTGAGTCAATTGTTATTAACATCCGAAATCGTCAATTTAAAAACTGGTATCAGGGTAGAGATCAGTGCCATCAAGATCTAGCATATCCGATGTTCGATATATTGTTGTGGGCATTTTTATTTGACGACATTATACAACAATTACAAGAGTAATGTGACCAATTAGAAGGAAAATTTAGGCCGCCGTTATGAGTATCGGCGGGGAGCTGGCGCGATTTTTTCTTAAACGGCGACGTTTTCGGTGTGATTTAAAATATTGGTGAGTCATCCGACGCACAGATTTAGGTATACTTAGAGGATATATTAGTTCCGAAACAAATTGATATGGAAATTATTATTTTAGCAGAGACCTGCCAACAAGATTAGCCTGATCTGAGACTTTCCTCACTCATGCCCGAATTTATTTTTGGGATGAAGTAAAAATACAAAAGATTTTATATAATACTTACTAGTTTTGACATCTGCACCTGTTTCTTGAACTGCAATTTATATTTTTAAAAAAAAGAAATTGTTCGAAAAATCATAATAAAATATAATTTTTCCAATAATAAATTAATCAATAATCAATTTTGTCATGAAATTCATTAAAATTTATGAGCAATTAATAAATAAAAAAAAATATATAAGGAAAATTTAACTCAATTTATTATATTTTAGTATTAAAATATAAAATCAAAACAATAAATATCGTTTAGCTTTAGAGGTTTCTTTGATTAGATAAACAAAGTCATTGCTTCTTTCGGTGGGCATATTATTTGATTTTTATTTCATTGTTTTTAAATGTTATTTTTCCTTGGTATATTTTTTTAGCATTAAAAAGGGATTGGTTGTTTTCTAAGATTTCCAAAAATCAATGTGCAAAAAATTTTTTTAAATTGGTTTCTATTAAAACGTGAGTTTAGTTTCAATGGATATGATGTAATTAAAATCTTATAATTTAAATTCTCATTTAATATTTACATAAAAACTGAATATAACTCATTTCTTAAGACAATAAAAGTATTTTTTAATATAAATAAAATGGATAACCCTCTCCCACTTTTATTTGGTATTTTTCCGTTAGTTCGTAATTTTTTCTTACTGAAAATTTCTGAAATTGTCCTTCCAAATTTTAAAATTTGTTTTTTATATATCAAGAAAAATATAAAAGATTTGCTTATTATCATAAAAAAATTGCATTTGTATCTATTTCTAAAATATCTCCCTATATAAATGCTAAATCTGGAGTAAGGTTTCAATTATGAAGTTAATAATATTTATCACCATAATTAAAATAAGAAATTAATTATAACTATATAGGGTCATTTATTTATACGAACTCGGGGTCGCGTATACTTTTAAGGAACCATTCTTACTTTTTTTTAAAAAAATAATACTTAAATCCAATAACTAACCAAATGAATGCACAAGTAATATTTACATTTGAAAGTGCGACTAGAGGAAATGTGATTTATTATATCATTTTCGTATTTGGTGCCTATATTTATGTAATATATAGAATTGCGATCCAAATTTTCAAAGTCAAATTGGTATTCTTCTTTTCTCTATTTTTATATGAATTATATATATATATATATATTGTATTAATAATTATCATTGTATAAGAGATTCATATATGTATAATTTCTATATTTAAAAAAAAAATTAATAAGAAATAACTTTACCGATTTGTATACGAGATTTTGGGTCTGAGTATAATTTCGGCCAATTTTTTTTAAGGTACAGATGAAATATTTTATGGTACGCTCCGATTTAGGAATTAAAAATCTTGCCGCTATATCAATAGACCCTTGGACATATTTATCTATTGGTTCGATTGTTAAAAATCTCGGACCATAAATTGAATCATTTTGGAATGCTATATGATTTTATTAAAAAGTAAATCGTGCCTAAATATTTCTTAAAATCAAAATCAAAAATGTTGTGTTATATTGCGCGCATTTCAATTGTTAACTAGTCCGATCATAGATATCAATTATATAAAATCGTTATAACAAAACGAATTAAATTTATTATACAATACTCATTAAGGTTATTTTTTTTTTAGTGTAAATTTAGAATTGTTAAAATTTAATGTCACATTTAATTACAAATCAACTCATATAAATTAAAATAAACTATTGTATTATTATAAAATCCTTTTTTTTTTACTCATTGAATTTTCACGTACAGTGTCCAGATGCTTCACATCAGAGCCTATGAAACCTGAGAATATATTGTAGAATCAATTTGTTAGCATAAATCGAATCGTAAATAAATTGAGGAAAAAAAATGAATCTCAAAAAACATTTATCTAGTGATTTACTTAGACATAATTATTCTCAGAATTAGTGTTAATTTTTATTTTACAGATATGCGCTATAGAAATGTTAGCGAATTTCTAAATATATTTCCTTTATATATGGGCATAATAAAATAATAAAAAGTTGATTAAAGCAAAAACAGCTTCAAAATATTTTTTTTCAGGAAATGTGTAAAAAAAATTAAAAATATTTTATTTCTTTGATTTATAAGAGAGATCGGTAGATGTCATCTATTATATGGTTAGGCCGGGTTTAAATTTTGACCATTTTTAAGACCCGGCCATGAATTAAAAAATTTTTTTTTAATGATTTTTGCTTTTTCAAAGTAAGAAATTAAAAATGTTGAGCGGTCAGTGGATATTAAATGTTTCATTATATGATTCAATAATTTTTCCACAGGCCCGTTTAGATCAAGGTTGTGCATACTTCAAATTTATAAATGCGGGAATAAGAAACGAATAAATGATCAATATTCAGAAAGTGTTTAAATTATATTAACAATTATTGTTGTTAAACTTCGGCTTAACTCAATTCAATATTTTTTAGCCAGAAAAACATTGCCCAAGCCTCGAGATTACGATAATGTATGTCTAGAGACTTTTGTTCCATCTGTGAGCTAAATCTTCAAGCTCGCGTAATATTTTTTCTGGACGAAATATTGAGTTTAGCCGTATTTAATAAGCGGCTCATAACAATGTGAAGAAAAAAAAATGAATGTGATATCGATAATACATACCCTTTTCGATACATTTTGGTAATATCGGATCTGTAATAAATTACAAAAAAAAAAATATATAACAATTATTGTTGTTAAACGGCTTGTTTTGAGCAAATGGCGAAACTCACCTTTTTATGTTAGCCAGAAAAATATTGTCCAAGCCTCAGATTTCGATAATATATGTCTTAGAGACTTTTGTTCCATCTGTGAGCTAAATCTTCAAGCTCGCGTAATATTTTCCTGGATAAAATATTGAGTTAGCCGTTCTTAAAAATCGGCTCAAAACGAGCCGTTTAACAACACTATTATACAATGTGAAGAAGAAGAAAAAATGTGATTTCGATAATACATACCCTTTTCGATACATTTTGGTAATATCGGATCTGTAATAAATTACAAAAAAAAAAAATATATAACAATTATTGTTGTTAAACGGCTTGTTTTGAGCAAATGGCGAAACTCACCTTTTTATGTTAGCCAGAAAAATATTGTCCAAGCCTCAGATTTCGATAATATATGTCTTAGAGACTTTTGTTCCATCTGTGAGCTAAATCTTCCAGCTCGCGTAATATTTTTCTGGATGAAGTATTGAGTTAGCCGTTCTTAAAAATCGGCTCAAAACGAGCCGTTTAGCAACACTATTATACAATGTGAAGAAAAAAAAAGGTGAGATAATACATACCCTTTCCGATACATTTTGGTAATATCGGATCTGTAATAAATTACGAAAAAAAAATTTAATTTCCTTCATAAATTTTTTTTTTGAATGAATTTTATCCTTTTTTTTAAATTCAAGAAAATTCGTGAAATAACAAATTAAATAATTTTTACAAATAGAAAAAATTTTGAATCATCAAATAGTTAGCATTTAGGATCTGTCCAAAACAACGACAAATTTAAATTCGCAAAAGCTTCAAAATTTTTATTATAAAAACACTAAAAGATTTTATAATCAATTCCGAAAATTTCCATCTTTAAGCGAAATCTAGAATAAGACCTGGTAAAGTTAATATAATATTGGCCTATCATTATTTATCATCAAAATACAAAGTGTGTAGTATAGAGTTATTTATTATTTATGTTTAGAATAAAAATATGAAATGGCATATCCAATTTTACGCAACTAAACAAATGAATTTATATAAGGTTCATGTATAATTACATTTGAATTTTTGAATAAGAGAAAACAGTTTAGTTGTATCATTTTCGTGGTATAAGGAAACTCTTAAGTAATATGTTGTAGGCTGTTTTAATTTCCCAATTGCAATAGTATATTGTTCCTATTTTATTTTAAAGAAGAGTATGATTAAAATTCTATATAAAAAGAAATAACCTTTCCCGTCATGTTGATAGATTTATTTTTAATAACTGTTATAAATGTTCCATTCTTAAATATATACAATGTATATTTGAGTGAATAATTAGTGTTCAACGATATATCAGGTAATAATTTTCCATATAAACTATACGTGATGCCACTAATTTTCCATACCTTGAGTGCAAAAATTTTCATGCCATAAATTGTATTCTTTCCCATTTTGCAAAGCATGTCATAAGGTGTTAATACTATATTTTATGTAGATAGATTATGCTTATAAATAATTTTAAAATAAAAATATATAATATTGCCCCCTTTTTTACAATTGTTAACTAACTCCTATCATAGAAATCAAATTATACAAAATCGTGATTAAATTTATATACAATCTCATTTACGCATATAAATTATTACATTGTCTTAATTTATAAAACAAGTAAATTCTTATATTATTTCAAAGTATTAAATTTTGAAATAATTTATTATTATTATAAGACTCACTTGTTAAACTTCCATTGTTTTGATCCCTCATAGGAAAGCACATCAAGCCTAGAAATAGATGATTGTAGAAGGTTAGATTGTCGAAAAATTTACATCGTATATAAATTGAAAAAAAAATTAAAAGAATAAAACGATTTAATATATAATATCGAAAAAAAAAATATTTTCTAGTAGTTATTTTAGCATAATTTTTTAGATAAAGAGTTAAAAATTTATAGATATGCTCAGGGCTGTAGTCACGTGTGGTCTGTCCCTCCTCACCCCTCCCTCTAAAAAAATTTTTTTGGCCCACAAACCTGGCCCTTTGAAAAATATTTAGGCCCCTTAAAAAAAATTTCTCTTTAAATACTAGATAAATAATATTGTACATGTTTATTATCAAGATGTGTCCTTTCCTTTATATTTGCCAATCACTGATGTTCTTTATCTATTTATGAACCTTTCCTTTCCATTTAATAATTATAATGTTATTTTTTAGTGTCAAAAAAGTTCTTTTTAATGTTTCAGGTTCACTTCAAGTCCCAGGTGACTTTGGCTTAAATGAACTAAAACAAAACGAATTAACCAATTACGTGAAAAAAAAGGATATCCACGGAAGGCCAAAATCATATCAAAAATCATGGTAAAGAGGTCAAGACTGGTTGGAGTTACAGTGTAGAAACTGTGAATTTTCTTTTTGATCTTTGAAATTTTTTTTTTGGCTCTAGTGATGAATTCTTAAAAAAAGAAATTTAAAAAATGCATTAGCTGTAAAGAAGGAACTGCAGCTCAAAAGCTCATTTAAATTCACAATATGGCATGATAAAAATCTTAATATAAATAGGATACAAATTAACCTTATACCTTAAATCAATTATTTAATTTGAATGCTATTTCTTAGCATACTCTACCTACCTTTTTGCGGAATGGTTTTCAAAAAGTACGGATGCTGCAAAAGATGAAAACATAATTTATTCTTCTGTACTTTTTATAACAATTTTTTCATATGCTATCCAAAAAGATCCCGAATTAAATAAAATTATGAAATTGCCCAAAAAAGCACATTTTATATCACCCCAAATTCAAAATGATGTCATATCTTCAGATATGGTGCTGAAATCAAAAAATATAAAGACTGATGAAAGAAAAGATGCATCAGGTTGTGAAACCATAAAGGATATGTTAAACGCCTACAAACCTTCAAGATTATTTAGACGATACCAAATTACAATTTTATTGTGAAAAGGACTCCAATTGGAGTCCTTTAATAAACAATTATTATGAATTGATTTGTAGATCGTTTTAATATAGTTTTACACAAGATGATTTTAATATTCTATCATGTTTTAATACATTGTCTCCCCTAGACCCAGATTATTTTGTATCAAATATAATAGCTCTTTCGAATCATTTTTAATTTTAAATATGGTAAAGGTCACATCATGAAATGAAAAAAGCAAAAAGGATTATTAGCTGCAGAAGTTAAAGAAACACATAATTTTGAAAAATGTCATAAATATTATGTATAAAAAAATATGTCATCTTGCATTTAAAAGAATTGTATAAACTTTATCAACAGCTATCATAATTGGGGTCAACAGTTTATTGTGTGGCCGCATTCTCTACACTAAAGAGGTTATCACAAGCACTAGAGAATCGATGGAAGATCGATGTAAACAAGATATTTTATTAAATGTCTTTTGAAAAACTAATACCAGAAACCTGTAGAGGTGACTTATTAAACCACCTAAATATGGTTGGGAAAAAAAATTTCATGCTCAAACCCGTTCCTGTATTATTTTCTCGGCCCTGCCAGGATTTATTTTTGATTATTTTTTCCCGGCATGCCCAAAAATCGAAACCTTCATATTTGGTAATTCATTTTGAACTCTATATTATTTTTTTTAAAGTTTATTTTAAAGGAGGAAAAATTAAAAAAATATGAGAAATGAAGGAATTATTGAAACGTTTCGTCATTTGCTTCAACCGATTTATTGATATTCTAATATTAGTATAATTTTTTTTTTAATTATGAGTTCCGGTCTAGTGTTGTTAAATAGCCCTATTTGGGTCGAGTTTGGAAAATGGCTCAATTATGATTTCGCTAAAAAGGTATTAGGTAAGCCTCGATATTTTTCAAATAGAAATCCAAATATTTTGAACATCTATGTGTGTTAAAAATTCCAGGCTTACTGCATAATTTTATTTTGGCAAAAAAAATCCTGATTGCGCCCTTTTTTAAAAATCGATCAGGGCTATTTAACAACACCAGCCTTACCCCGAATTTTAGACACAACCCACACAACACAGATTTCTTCTTCAAGTAGCAGCTGACTACAAGGATCATAATATAAACTGCGTAAGAATGATAAATGTTCGAGCAGAAAATGTTGCATCGCGATTCATGAGCATGTACAGACCACCCTTACCATCATAATTCGTGGGAATACAACAAATTATATTTTGAAATGATATAACATACATCGAAAAAGCTCGATTGTCTATTATTTGTATTCTATTTAAAAATTTTATTTTAAATCATAATGAAAAAATAAAATAAACTATGAATATTTTGTATAGTAATAATAAAATATTTTATGCAACGTTTGATTTTTCCACAAGGCCTTTTTCACCCCTTATACATATTTCGTTTAATTTTAATTATACAAATTGTTATCTGTGAGTGTGATACAATATTTGCAATATGCCCGATTTTATACGTGGAAGCCTAATTCTCTCTGCGATACGAAATATGAATCGTTTTATATAAAATACATAATGTATGATGATTAATTTTATATTTACAGTTTGAAAAGATATTTTGTTGTGTATCATCCGTGATAGGGCCTTTGACAGCCCGGGGCGAAATGAATTAGTCTCCAAGGCAAATGAAATACAAATTAAAATAACCAAAAATATTAAAATTAAAAAAGATTGCCTAATCTATTAAGAATGTGAGAAGAAAAAAAATATGATTTAGATATACAATAAAAAAAATATTTTATTTCTTTAATACATACCCTTTTCGATACATTTTGGTTTCTTTTCATCTATAGATTGTATAATAAATAATAAAAAAAAATATAACTTTTCAAAATATTTTTTTTTAAAAAAAATTAATTATATCATTTGATAATTCATTAAAATTCGTGAAAAATAAATAAATAAAAAAAATATAGAAAAAACTTAAAAATCATCAAATTGGTTTTATTAAGTTCTGTCTGTGCCAACTTTAAAAAAAATAATTAAATTAGAAATACTTTCAAAACTTTAATTATAAAAAACACGAAATTTTTTTTTTATAGTTTTAAAATTTTCCTCTATTTGATAAGACCTGTTAAAGTTAACATGATATTAGACATCAGTATTTATCACCAAATTACAAATATAAACAAAAGTCAAAATGTTGTTTATAGTAATTATTTATGTTTAGAATAAAATATGAACTGGCTTATCCAAGAATACATTCTAATTTTACACAGCTAAAACAAATGAATAAATAACTATATATATATTAATTACATTTGAATGTTAGGGTCACAGAAAACTGATTAATTGTAACATTTCCGTATTGGAAGAGAACTTTTAGGGAATATGTTGAATTTTTATCCAAATCATTAATTTCAAATTGGTACTATTTTTATTTTAAAGGAAAATAAGGTGTAAATATATATATATTTATATATATATAGATATAGATAATCAACATTTTATAGATAAATATTGTATATCTTCAAAAAAAATAAGAAATTACATTTTCGGCTTTGATAGATATATTTATAGGAACTGGGGTACCAATCTTGTGTATAATAAACAATTTATAATTGATAACTTTGATAGCATTCAACATCGCAAAAGTAGGAATGTATTTTCCTTTTAAATCAAACGTGTCGTTGTTATGATCTTTCACTAAAGATAGGCCAGTATTTTTGATGCCATATGATTCATTTTCAATTTGAAAGTACACGTCAGTAGGTGACAATGCTATATTTTAATAAGTAGATTATGGGGTGAATAATTTAAAAATATAAATATATAATACCCCTCTCAATTGTTAACGAAATCAACGTTAAAATTAATTAAAATCATATGCAATCTCATTAACGTTAATTTTATTTTTCAGCATATAAATAAATTGATTAAAATAAAATGTCACCGTTTATTTTATAAATCAAATAAAATTTTTGTACTATTTTTTTTAATAAATTATTAATTTCTAATAACATTATATAAATATAAGACTATTTTTTTTTTCTTACTCATTAAACTTCCATTGTTCAGATCCATCATAGAAAAGCATATCGAACTTAGGAATAGTAGATTGTAGAAGTAATTTTTTGATAACATAGTTCGAAAAAATTCAAATCGTAATATAAATTGAAGAAAAATTTAATATTATAATTCTTAGAAAACGTATTAAAAAAATTAATTATTAGATATGTTTTAATAACAAGGATGAATAATTTTTAAAATATTTACATTGGATGTGTATAATAATAAAATGATGAGTTATGCCTTTTTTTAAAAAAAAATTATTCATTTTCCTTCGATTTGTAGTCGAAACCCGTAGAGGTTGCATATGACACGACCCAAGCCGGTTTGTAAGAAAAAATTTTTTATTCTTAAAACCGGTTCGGTATTCTTTTCTTCGGTTCACTCGGGATTTATTTTTGATCATCTTCACAGCCCAGCTCGGAATTTTTTAAAATCTTGTTATTTTTGTATCATTTTGACTCAATTTTTGTAAATTACCACAAAGGGGAGTGGAAGGAAGGAGGTATGGGTGGAAGGGTAAATTGAGTGTGAATTATTTAACGCCCAAATCATCATTTGACCCTACTGACTTATTGATATAATTCTAATTCCTATTTTTTAATGGCCTGGCATAGTGTTGTTAAATAGCCCCGATGGCTCGATTTTAATAAGATTTAAGTTAATCGGCCTTTTTTCAATACTAGACTGGCCCTGCACGGATTTTAGTCCCAACCCTGGTTACCGGTCCGGGGTTAAAAAGAAATGCATTTTTTCTTCAAGTAGCAATTGACTAAAGGAGATTATAATATAAAAACTGCGAAAGAATAAGAATGATAAATGTTCAAGCATAAGATGTTGGCATATTACTTCTAAGATCAACATCATATAGGCCTACACCGACACTTTTACCAATCTTATGGAACAAAATTGCTTTATTGCTATTTATTGTATTATTATATTGTTATCTAGTTATTTATTGTATTATTATATTGTTATCTAGTTATTTATTGTATTATTATATTGTTATCTAGTTATTTATTGTATTTTGAAATTTAATTAAAATTTTATAATAAAAATAAAAAAAATTGAAAAGATCTTAAAATTTCCATATTTTTAATATATTATAATGTAATGTTATTATAATCTTATCTTATTTTTTTCTCTAACAAAAGCAATAAATCAATCAAATTTCTCATTAATATTTTCTTTGTTATTTTTATTTTCAATATTATTTTTTAGTCTTTCGTATTACCAAGCCTTTCGACTTTTAGACCTTGCGCACTAATAATATTTCTTCTTCTTCTTCTTCTTCTTCTTCTTCTTTTAGCACGTTGGTCATAGACCTGCCCAAAATGAGCGGACGTGAATTATATGAAGGTCCAATAATTATGCCGGTTTTTTCCTCGAGGGTACCAACAAACCTCTTACCCAGGAGTTTTTAAGTGAGGGTGGAACTTCCCTATACCATTTTTTGTAAAATAATTAGATTTAGTGAGGAAAGTAAAGGGGGATCAAAGAGAAGAAATAGTAAATGGAATAACTGTTATTTATTTTCTCTATTTTCAAGTACCAAATACAACAGTCTCTTTTAATTAGGATTAATTTAAAAGATTTTAGAAAGGGTTTTATTCTTTACGATTAGTCACGAAGATTAATTAATTGCCTAAATTAAGCTATGAAGATTAAAAATTGTGGGTTAAAATTTATTTCTTATAAGGTTTAGTTTCCTTTCCTGTTTATTATCTGTGCTTAATTTATTTATGTTTTCTTTCCCGTTTTTTTTTTATCTTTGCTTAATTTATTTATTTCTTTGCTTAATTTATTTATTTACCCTTAACTTTGCTTAATTTATTTATTTACCCGTAAAGGAATGTTAATAGCTCATAATTATGATATTTGAATATTATTATTTAATTTATTGCCCTACTCAGCAGTTATTGGACATATGCTCATAAATTAGACTAAGAATGAATTTGAAAATTTTCTGTCGGTCGACGTTTTTTTTTTTTATCTGTGCTTAATTTATTTATTTCTTTGCTTAATTTATTTATTTACCCTTAACTTTGCTTAATTTATTTATTTACCCGTAAAGGAATGTTAATAGCTCATAATTATGATATTTGAATATTATTATTTAATTTATTGCCCTACTCAGCAGTTATTGAACATATGCTCATAAATTAGACTAAGAATGAATTTGAAAATTTTTCTATCGGTTGACGCTCTCTCTAGGAAAAACCCAGGATAGGTCGAGTTCTTCTAAGGATTTTGTTATTTTTCCGTACCAGCTGTTTTTGTACGACAAGAACGGCTTATGAAACTTTTCCTCCGGAATATTTACTAATGTTTGATAAATTAAGTTGTTGGATTTATGTGGTAGGATATGGCCCATCAGTTCTATTTTTTTGTATTGTATCATTTTATAGACGGGGAGCAGATCGCATCTCGTCCATAGGGAGTAGTTTGTTGTGTTTCTAGGGTAATAGGTTTTTGTTATGTATCGAAGGCATTTATTTATAAATGTTTGGGTCTTTCTGTTCCCTATTTGGGAATCCTTCCAGGTTTCAATACCGTAATATAAGGATGGTATTATAAGAGTTTTAAAAAGTCTTAATTTTAGCGGAATTGATATTTGTCGGGAGGTCCATATTTTTGTGAGCATTCTGTATTTGGTTCTTGTTTTATTTATTCCTTAAGCATTGATCTTGCTTTGTACTTCCCTACCTATCTATTGTAACGCCTAAATATTTTAATTGGGATACTACCATTATTATTTGACCATTTAATGTAAGATTTGTCTGCGAGGAAGTATAAAATGAAGTTAGCATTTTCGTTTTCCTTATATTTAATTTTAACCCAAATAGGCCAGCCTCTATTATTATTAAATCAATGATATGTTGTAGGTCTAACTCTGATATACCTATCAGACATAGATCATCGGCGAAGGCTAAAATATTTATTTCACCTTTGTCCCATCTGTCAGTATAGAATGTTTTTATTTTAATCATTATACAGTTTATAATGAGGTTGAAAAAAATGGGAGATAATACGCACCCTTGTTTAAGACCTATTTTGACTGGAATTTTTGCAGATTTTAGATCTGATTGTATGATTTGTATAGAGTAATCTTTGTAAATCGTTTTTACCAAATTTATTAAGGAATTAGGTATGCCTACTTCCTCTAGTTTACTCCATAATTTGGAGTGTATAATTGAATCAAATGCCTTCTCGAAGTCTAAGGCGACCATTATTAATTGGCTTTTCCGTACGTTCGCCCTTTCCAAATGAATTTTTGCAGCGAGAATTGCTTCTAATGTGTTATGCCCTCTTCTAAAAGACACTATTGAATCTACATATTTGGGTTCGATAAACCATCTTATTCTGTTTAGTATTATATTAGCAAAAATCTTATAGATGACTGAGTTTAATGAAATACACCTCCAATCCTCCACAGAAGTAGGATTATTCGTTTTTGGGAAGTTGATCAATATGGCTGTAATCCATTCTTTGGGGCAAGTCCCTTTGTACCACACACGATTTATTACCGGGAAAATAATTTCAGCGCTTAAAACTGAGTCGGTTTTTAGGTATTCACTATAAATGGAATCCTGCCCGCACGCTTTATGGTTCTTTAGTTTTTTGATTATATTTGTTATTTCACCTTTAGTCGGTGGGTGAACCTCTTTCAGATTTTGTACATCTGAGGTTTGTTTTTTGTGGAATGGGTGAACCTCTTTCAGAATTTGTACATCTGAGGTTTTTTTTTTTTTGATAGTTAGATGAAGGTAGAACGTCATTCATTGTACTAAGTGTTTGTTTTTATTTAAGCTGGTTGTAAAAGGGGGGGGGGGGTATTATGACTGCATCTCTTTACTTTGTTATTAATTTGTGTGGGAGGCCAATCCTTCGAAGTTGTGGGATTTTGTTCAAGAGTCCCATTATTACTATGATTATTTAATAATGTATGCCATGAAATGTGATGATTAGGCGAGGAAGAGCAGTGTATAAATTTCGTGTGATCAGCGAAACGGTTAGGGGCCATAATTTCGAAGTTGAGGGGCATTGAGTGTTTTGTGGCCATAATTTCGAAGTTGAGGGGAATTGATCGTGTTTTGGGGGAGGGATACTGGACCTATTCAGAGTTGAGAAACTTTGCTCGTAAACGATATAAAATTAAAACAACTATTGAAATAAAAATACAATTTCATAAATTGTGTTCCCAAAAAGTAACCATAATTCTATCTAAAAAATATATATACGACATGTATTTTTTTCCATCAATATGTTACTTTTTCAACTTTAATTCATTATTTTGAGGGCGTTTTTTAAAAAAAAAATTAAATATCTGATTTTATTGGAAATGTATACATTCATGTTTGGAATACCTAACCTATGAATTTCAGACAATGTTTCCTTGAATTTTTGAACTTAATTATAATTTATATTAGATTTTTCCATATATTTTTTTTAGATAAATTATGAATGACTCAAAGGTTAACAGAAAAATTGTCTTACAAAATTCATAAAATAGGTATTCCAAACATGATGGAATATATTTATGGGCAAAATTCGATTTTTAAATTTAAAAAAAAACACCTTTCTAAAAAATGATTTAAAGTTGTAAAAATAAACACCATCAAAAAAAACAAATTGACGCTAAAATATATAAATTCATTGGCTTAGTTTGTAAAATTCCAGGATTTTGGTGCCAAGATTATTTTTTAAAAAAAACTTATATGATTAATGACGAAAAATGGCCATTTGTGGAGAAAATCACTATTTGAATTAATAGGAAGATGTATTAATATTATCGATTGCAAAAATATTATGATGATTAAAGAAAAGAAAAAGAATTATAAAAGAAAGATCTTTCCTTCATTTTGAAATTGTAATCTCTCATAATTTTTAAACTAAAACATTCTTAATTTTGGAGTTATTTAATTAATTTTTTTTTTGTGTTTAAAATAATTACACAAAATATAAAATGATTATAGACACGACAGGGCTAGCAAGGATAACTTGTTTACATTTCAAGTGGAGATTCATTCATTATTTAACAAACAAAAACTAATTTACTAACTTCAAGATCTAATTCAAAGGGTCAGCCGTTCCCGAACTATACCTCTTAAAT